TCTAACTCACAATTTTCTTTTTGAGGGCAACCAACTTATCTATCGAAGTAAGAACATTTTCGTCTTTAACTTGTATGCTACTGTTCGTATTATTTCCGTTAAGTATTCCAGTTTAGGCATCTAAAATTCACAAACAAGATGTCCATATATATATATATATATATATATATATATATATATATATATATATATATATATATATATATATATATATATATATATGGGCACGGCGGTTGAAAATCACTGCTTTAGTCATATAGAAGATTTATTTTGATCTGGTAAATATTTGCATTACCATATTGGAAAACTAAGTTGATGATCATGTGCTTTCGAAGTTACTACGAAGTTATTTACCTTTTCCTGTGTTTTTTTTCTTTTCTAATATCCCTTTATTCTTTTCCACATCTCAAGTTCTTTAACCTTGGTCTTGAATATTTTCAGCTTTACTTAAAGAAGCTGTGTCACTGACAGGTTGACGTATTTATGAAGCATGATCCCCCGAATTGGTTGGTGCCTCGACACTCGTGATATGCTACTCAAATAGGTCTTATTTATTTTCTTTGAGCTTTGATTTCAGTGTTGATGTTGACTTATTTTTTTTTTTGCTAGCCACGTGACAATGCACTATGAATCACACACTAAAAATAAGAAACACGCCATTACGGTATTTTTCTTTGTATTTTCTTTTTGAGAAAGAAAAGTAAAGTTTTTATTAAATTTCGTAGATCAGCCTGACCTAAAACAACTGGCGACACGTGATTTATTTTCGTAAGTCACACACACACACACACACACACACACACACACACACACACACACAATATGACAGACAATGAAAATTAGATGAATTATTTAATAAAAGATGAGTCAAATTTTCCTTATCTTTCATATTCAATGAAACATGTTGCTGTTCAAATATACATCTATAGATACATACGTATATATATTTTCAAAGGACGAATATTTTCTATGAAAATTTCTCGGACATTCAGGCTATGTTATTTAATACTGTTTATTATCAACAGAGCATTTACTTAAATACTTGTATCTATAAAAAGAACGTTAAACATAAAAATGTCTTTAATATATATATATATATATATATATATATATATATATATATATATAATCTATGTGATCGATAATCTATTTCATTCTATTTCAGTTTATTCATTTTTTATCAATCTCAGTATGTTCTCTCTCTATCTATCTATCAATCTGTTTCAGTCTGTTCCTTATCTATCTATCTATCTATCTATCTGTTTCAGTCTATTTCTTTATCTATCTATCTATCTATCTATCTATCTATCTATCTATCTATCTATCTATCTATCTGTTTCAGTCTATTCCTTATCTATCTATCTATCTATCTATCTATCTATCTATCTATCTATCTATCTATCTTCCTAATTTTCTTGAGCACCACGCATACATATGTGGAAATATGCATAAATATATGAGCATGCTTGTCCGTGCTTAATTAATCCATACTTCTATGTTACAGTTGTCAGAGAGTTATTGGAGAAACACATTAGCTGATACGTCTCCATTTTGTTGCGATCTGTTAGGATTTTTGCTTGCCCTCATATCTTTCAGTTAAATTTAGATTATTGATATTTCGGTGGGTTGAAACCTGTCATCTTTCATTCTGGTGTTTCTTCCGTTCGCCTGCATATTTATTGAAGCTTTTAAATGTCATGTCTTTCCAAAGAAAATGATAAAGGTATTTTTTAAGTAAAGGAAACAGTTTGTTTTGTATGTGTCCTGGCAGTATGACTTTTAACACGTGGCCTTGTATAAGTAATATACGTCGGCTATTCTGTCGCCTACATTAAAAGAAATAAGCTACGAGAAAGCATTGAAAAAGTCAAGTTGCGGTTAATCAGCAGGCAAAAAAAAAAAAAAAAATCAAATAAATAAAATTGGAATGAACAATCAACAGTATCTGTTTGAAATAAATATCAAACTAATTTGTTTACATTTTTGTACGTATTGTTGAGCGTCTGTCGAATATGGGGTAAGAATTGTTCATTCTAAGTTTAAAGGGAAAAATAAAAATAAAACGTACTGCCCAGCGCAGTGATTGAGCCCACAGACTTTAAACTGAAATTTCACTTCTCTTGACTGGAATAAGATCATCCCGTAGAGCAAGTCAATTTTTTTTTTCTTCTCTCTAGTCATTTTTTAGTAGGTTCGCCGTTTTGACGTGGTGTAATGGTTAGCGAGCTTGTCTTGTAAAATTAATTGCGACTTAACAGTGAGTTCGATCCTTACTGGGTTGCCCATGCTTTCGTCGTTATGCTACATCCTAATTCATTATTTATTTGTCTCTTATCTGTGAAAGGTTAGTGTAGGCTTTCTCTTGAGGTTGTCCAAGTCGTTTTAACTTAGATGATGTAAGTTTTTTTTTTTTTTTTTTAGCATTACGCCCCGAGCAAGGCATGAAGCCACTAGGATGCAGGGGGTTGCAGAAGATTTGGAGCAAGAGCAGATAGGAGTGATAGAAGAAAGGATCAGGAGAAGGATAGTGGATAGATCAAGGTAACTGGAGATGTCGACTGACATTACATTTGAATAGTTGGAGAGTATAGCTCTCAGGGAAACAATAATTGGGAAGGGTGCTCCACAGGCAAGAGGTGCGAGGTATGAAGCTATTGGAGTAGAAGAGACGGCTACATTTAAAAGTTTCTACAGTGTAAGGGCGTAGGGCGCTTGAATTCATGGAGTCTGGGAATCAGTGAAAGCAGCTCACCGGAGCAACTACCATGAAAGTATTTGTAGAAAAGACAAGTGCATCGACTCCTTTGATTTTTGTCTCTTATTTTTTTAGTTAAATTTCCCAGTCTCTACCCCCGAATTACGTGATAGATATTTCAGTTCTTTATTAGTTGTTCGATGTCTTTCGAATTTTGTCTTTTTTTTTTATTGGTTTGTTCTCTACGACCTATCGACACTTTGTAGGTTACAAGCCAGAAAATATTTATTTTTTCGGGGCGGGGGGAATGAGATAATAATAATTTAATGATAGAAGTCTTACTAATTAATCCATAGTTTGGAGGATAGAAGAGGTGGATTCATGCCTTCCACAAGGGTATTTGCGCGTAAGTGAATATAGCGAACCCAACTGGAATTGGAACTAGCCTCTCCAATTTACAATTTCCAGCCATTATCGATCACACCACCCTCACATCCAAGCTTACACCTGGGATTCTCAAACGGCCACCCCTCTTGGTACTAACCAGACTTGACGTTGCTTAACTTACGGGAACCGGTGTTTCAATTTGATGTGGCCGTTAGCACGTTTGTCTTTTCGTATTTGTTATAATATTTGGATTTGGGCGTGACTGAGTGTGTAACTGCAAGCGTGATTTATTTTTTCTGATTAAATCCTGCACCTTTTCCGCTAGTTCCTCTACTGCGTTTAAGGATTATGGTAGGCGTTTTAATACTAACAAACGTTTTATTTTCATCATAAATGTTTCATACATTGTATATAAACATTGGGGACATTTTTAAATTATTCTTTTTCATCCTCACATCCGAAGTTGTACATACGGGATTAGTTTGGAAGTCATTGGGAACATTTGATATTATGATGTCCGCAGTAAGACAGTGACGTGTTTTGGTAAAAGGGAAAGTATTCGATCCGATGGGTCAGTAATTGTGGTTGGCTAAGTTAGTGATAGTGTCGATTACCTTGCTTGACTTTGACATAAAAAACGCCGCTAGGGAGCGCCCCTTAAGCCTATAAAAAGGCACACATTTCTCTCTTTTCACTTTTTTTCACGCAGGTTTTCAGATGTAGTTGTATGTATAGATGTGTAACGAACCGTGGGTTTAATACGCGTTGTGAAATGAAACCCACGTGGTATCCTGAAATAAAGTCCACTACAAACATAGCGGGCCCAAGATGAGTCCACCCAAAAAGAAATGTAAAAGAAAACAACTAAGAACCGATATATATATATATGTACAATATTGTTATACATGACATTACCTATTCTAATATTAAGAGTATTTAGAGATTCTTGATAAAACACAGCGAAGTGTCTGCAATGTAACTGGTTTTGACCCGTCTTCTCGATTTCAATTGCTATCCTACAACCTTAACGTAACTTCCCTCTGCCTTTTCTATAAATATTATGCATGGTTATTTTTCTGATGAACTTCTCTCTATGCTACCTAAACTTTATGAATTTAAGCGCAGTACGAGATTGGCAACTAGGTTTTATCATTTTACAGTTGCAATGGCAAGATATTACCGTAAAGTCTATGTTGATAATTTCTTTCTCGTACCTCTCGCTTGTGGAACTCTCTTCCAGTTTCTTGCTTTCAGTAAAAATATGTGTTTTGGTGTAAGGAATACTGTAGTATGTTTGGGTTAGTGGCTACCTTAATTTAATTATACGACAGATGAAGACCAATCTCCCCACCCCATATTCCCTATTGGACTTGTTTCACATTTTTTGTATTATCAAAAATAAATATCACTTTCCTCTATGTTACCTAAACTTTACGAATTACAATACTAGATTGGCAGAAAGATCACATTATTTTACAATTGAAATGGCTAGATGCAACCGTAAGTTCTATGCTGAGGGTTTCTTTCTCTCGCACTTGTGGAACCCCTTTGGTCTTTAAAAACTTAAATGCAATATTAATCGTTATCTCCAGTTTTAATTCCTACTTACGTTTTAAACAATTTTTTTCTCATATTTTCTCACACTCAGTAACCCCTTGCGTCTTAGTGAATTTATTGACTTACTTGGGGTTAAATGATTAAAAAAATCATCATCATTGTTGTTCGTTTTCGCAGTTTTGACCGCCGCTTTTGAACAGGTGTAACCTACGGGGATTTTCTGAACAGAACACTTTATTTAATTTATGGGAGTCGACTGAATTGCTTCCAGTTCCATGTCTAGGGATATCTCGTCTAGTTCTTATTTTTACTCTTGCCCAGTTACTGCTTACCCGTCTCCATCGAGTCCAAGTCGATATACGTTGAAATACAGGTTCCCGTACGATCACTGAAGTTTAGCAACGTCGTACCTGGTCAGTACGTAGATGGGTGACCACCTTGTAATAGCAGGTGTTGTAAATTTGGAAGTGTAAATGGTGTAATGGATAATGGCTCGGGAATTTGAATCGGTGAGCCGAGTTCCCTTACGTGCAACTACCCTTGGGAAATGTGTGAATTCACTTCTTCTCCGTCCAACTATGGATTAATTAGTAAGACTTGTGTCGCTAAAATAATTATTACACTCCACCCCCACAAACAAATCTTACGAAATTTAGATTTCGGCATTAAATAAGACATAGAGGTGTTGATAGGCCCCTAAACAAAAACAGCCAAACTAAATGACGTCGATAGTCACCTGATGAAGCTCGGAGAGCACAATGGACGAAACATTGTGATAAGATGGGGACAATAGTCCAAACGTAAGTAGTGTAAATAATGATAACCTGATCTTAGATATTCAGAGAGAAATTAAAAATTCCTTGTTTTGTTAAAAAGTACATTTTTTTAAAAAGGAAATTAAATTTTTATAGGGTGGTGCGCTAAAATTTTGTCCTCAACTCTATAAATTATTATAGACTACATGTCACTCTTCCGATGTGCCAACATTTTAGTAAAGATGGTCTAACTTTCCAAGATTTATATCACTAGCTAGGTTACTGAAGCTTCAATAGATATTATGAGGCAATTAAAAAAACATTTACAGAATTTTCCAAAATCTTACAAAGACAAATATTTTGGACAAAAAATCCCAAATTGTAATTGTAATGTTGCTATGGTTCATATTCAGAAACTTGTTTTAGAAATAGTTCATCCTTTGACTTTCTGATTTGGTTGGTTGGTTGATTATGTTTAGCGACACATAACACCTCTATGGGTTATTTCATGCTGAAATCTAAATATTTTAAACACAATTTTATGGCTTCAACTAAATATATAATATAAATAGGTATCGTAGGTAATTTTGCTATAAATATTCTTTGGTTTATTTTGCTTTGCAGAATGCCAATATTAATGGGTTATTTAATGTCAACAATATTTGTAAGATAGGTTCATATGCATAGAAAATGTATTTGTAAGCGGTCAGTTTGTAGATTAGGTCTCATTGATACTTTTTTGTAACGAAGGATTTTGTCGAGAGTCAAATATATTGCTGGTGAATTTATTTTTTCAAAAATGTATCGCTGGTAATATTTTACTATAAAAATCTATTATCATATTTTCATAGTGTTTTGAGCCCAGTTTTGGTAGTTAACCATTTGCCCTTAGCTAGGACCCTAACAGGTGATACCACCTCGGCTCAGAGTGGAGCTGGGAACAGCAATTAAGAGGCGGTTCCATGCTCCTCAAAACCTCCCGATCAGAGGCCTTGCTGCCGCATATAGTTTATCGTTGACTTTTTGAGCTGACGTATTTCTTTATATGGAACAGGCGACATTGTATGCAGAATATCATTTCAAAGTTCATAATTTTGGTAAATTGTCACCTGCCAATGTAAAAATAACCCTTCTGAATACTCCACAATTGTTCAATCGGATTAAGGTCGGCCGAGCAACCACGTCGTCAGTTTCATTCAGTATTCATTAGATTTCTTCACCGAATGGGATGGAGCATTGTCGTGCATAAAGATAATTTTGTTTGTAAAAGCTTTTGGCTCTTCTTGAACTACAGTTCCAAAAAAATCAATGTCTGTCGGAGCTGTCATCCTAACTCCACATGGAACTCACCATGAGTCCAACAATTCTTTATTTATAATGCTATTCCAAAATATTATACCACCTCCGCTTTGTTGATGTATCAGTCAGTAAAGGTAGTTTGCGCCAGGAGTCACCCAGTATTTGTTACACACCCTCTCTGGACCATCGGGGTCCGGGGGTTGGGAAGGCGCCTAATAAGGTAATGTCGGTGAAATAAATTCAAATGATTATCGCAGAAACATACACTTAATTAGCACAACTAAATAAATTATTATCTTACCTGCAAACATGGGCTCTTAACACACAGAGTTCGTTTATCAATTGATTTTACTTTTGTTACAGTTCCCTCCCCATATATATATATATATATATATATATATATATATATATATATATATATATATATATATCTTTCTCTCTCTCTCTCTCTCTCTCTATATATATATATATATATATATATATATATATATATATATATGTATATATATATATAATATTAACTACGAATACGGCCACAATGTGCTGTGTTCGGGAAATAAAACATCTCAATAACACTAAAAAAATACATACAACGCACACCCCCAATTACACTAAATAAATAAAATAATCCTTGATAATGGCTAAAAATATAGCCGAAAGCGCTCGGAATTGTAGAACGTTTGAACAGTTTCTACACAATCTGTGTTCAAAAAAGAAAACACTTATTCGAACACAAGAAAAATTAAATAAAAAGCTTAAACATAGTACCTTATCTGTCTTTTTTTTAATGAAACACGCATAAATGAAATATATATATGCCTATAATATATATATATATATATATATATATATATATATATATATATAGAGAGAGAGAGATAGATAGATAGATAGAGAGATAGATAGATAGATATATATAGTTAGTAAGTACGTAAAAATTCTGCTTTCTTTCGACCGTACGCCGATGGTTTAAGGCGATAATCTCCGACTGTTGCCGTATCAGTCGGGTTTCGATCCCGGCTGGAAGCAATCTGGTGTCTACCCACACTGATGAGCTGTGTTACAGCGAAACATTCTGTGGATATATATATATATATATATATATATATATATATATATATAGTGTGTAAGTTTGATAGGCGGAGAGTTAAGTTAAAGGGATATACTGAGATATCCGGAAGAGGCATGGCACGTGGAATTAAAAAAATCTAACTCTGTGTGTGAAATAAATGATTCCTTTCGAAATTCCAATAACCTGAAGAAAGCCGGAGCGTTCAGCGGCCGAAACGTCGTGAACATGACAATAATGATAAGGAGAACATTCCGAACAATGTAAATAATATCAATTATTACAATACCTCAGCTCAGGTGACAATTTGCGAATACCAGGGGCTGTAAGCTTGGATGTGGTGTAATGAATAATGGCTTGGAATAGTTAATCGGAGAACCGAGTTCCAATTCCTGTTTGGTTCGTTATATTCACTTACATGTAAATAGCTTAGTGTATGAACCTACATATTCACCCTCAGCTATGTGTTAAATTAGTAAGGTTACTATCTAAAAAAAAATCTTAGAATGTAAAAATATTTTCTGGTTTTAAATAATCTGCAAAGGGTTGATAAGCCTTAAAACCCGAATCAATCAATCAACTTTTCTTACTTTTAATAGTAATCTTTTCATATTTTAATTTTTCTGAAATTTCTTTTTTGTGAATATCTTAAAGCCATTAATTTCTTTTTGTTTTATCTTACCCAATGTGTTTAAATTCCTTTTTGATGATTGTTTTCTCTGTTCAACCCTTACGCTGTTTCCTATGTTGCATTCCTATCACTCAATAACTTCATATTTCATTTCTCGTTTGACGTGTTACCTTTTATACGACCCATGACAATATATAAATATCAATAACTATACAATTATATACGATGGTAAGTCAAACAATATACGAACTTTTGCCCCAGCGTATTTTCAGGTTTGTCACAATACCTTCTGCTCGTGCGTGCTTATAGTTGATACTATTGTTATCACGTGATCAAAGTTTTGAGATTTAACGCGCCAGTTTTCTTGCTGCCATTACAGTGTAAACATGGCCGCTCCTCTAGCAGTTTGCAAGAGGGAGAAACAAAAAGCAGTGATCCGAATATGCAGAGAACATGTTACCTCATCGATGATCATTCACCGGTTCGCCGTTACCATTCCGAGGGTTTACTGAATCTACTCTTCAGTAGCGGAAGTTGACGGACGTCCTGTTCCGTCTTCGTGCGTCACGCTTGTTCGGCCAATTTTACACTTCTCGATCCACTCATATATACTTCTACGCGCTAGTGTACTGTCACTGTATTGTAAGCCTCCGATGAATTTCATTTCCCGATTTATCTTCTGACCAGAGAAATCGGATCATTGCTCTTTGTAAATAATAAACACTTCAGAAACCTTGATGTATAGATCAGTTAAAATCATTTTTTGAGGCGCTAAGTAACTGGAACTTAGAATAGGTTATGATTGTGGTAGTTTTACTCAAAACCGGAAGTTGCTACAAAACCAAATCATTAACCTAAAAACTCGAATCATAAGCTCAAATAGCCTCGTCAGATCGATAACTTTATTCGAATGTTATGCATGCCACCAAATTCGTTCAGAAATATCTAAACTGTCAGTTGTGTACAACCGTCAATGTTTAAAAAAACTTCGAGCGAATGAAGTTTGTAGGTCTTGGCGAAATGTATACTTCTTCGGACCTGGTAGACTGGCGCTACGTAATCACAAAGAACTGTACGAAATAACAGAATCTGCATCACTTGAGGACTTTCAACAGCAACAACAACAAAAATGGATATCACGTGAAACTTGACGAGAAATTAATGACATAATGAAGATGTTGATGTTCCACACTTTTTTAAAGAAATGGTTAGAAAGAAAGCCCGCCTGCATTTGAGAAAACCATCTTCCTGAAGAATTGTTTTAAGAGAAAGATTTTATAAATATCAACCGAGAGTAGAGCATTGGCGGCACGATCAATGAATGTTCAATCTTTCCTTATATGGAAACGTCTAAGTTACCATATCTATCTATCTATCTATCTATCTATCTATCTATCTATCTATCTATCTATCTATCTATGTCTTTTTGTCTATTTCTTATCTATCGCTCTAACTTCGCTCTCTAGCTGCATGTCTCGCTCTAACTCTATCTCTCTCTTTTATGTATCTCTCTATATATCTCTTTCTTTCCATATATATATATATATATATATATATATCTCCCTTTCTGTATCTCTTACTATATATTTCTCGTTGTGTATATCTCTCTGTATATCTCTCTCTTTCTGCATATCTCTCTCTACGTATCTCTCTGTATCTCTTTGTCTCTCTCTATATATATCTCCTCATCTCTATTTCTCCCTCT